TGTGTGTGTGTGTGTGTGTGTGTGTGTGTGTGTGTGTGTGTGTGTGTGTGTGCGCATCAGTGTGAGAGTGTATATTTGTGTTTGCGGGTGTGCAGCAGTGCGTGTGTCCATGTGTCTGTGCACACACGCTCACTGGAGGGGGGGGGGGCGCCGAGAGCTCCCACATGTTGCCTGAAGGTCCCCAGTCTGGGCAGAGGGGCACTTTCCCCCTTTTATCTCCAAGGCCCCCGCACGGCTGTTTTTGTTTACCCCCCCAGCAGCTCTGACATTAGCAGCGCTTCACCAGACGCTGTGTATGAATCATCTTGTCTTGTCTTGGGTGGCGCAGGGGGGACTGAGCCCAATGTTTTACACCCCCCAGGATCTTGGGAACTCTTTGAGAAACGGCAGTTCTCCCCACCCCCCACGCCCCCGGCTCCGACTCCAAGAACACAAACGTGCCCCCACCCAGCACAATGCTTGCTATTACAGACATCATTGTGACATCATTCCCCAGTCAGCTTCATCGATGCTGCTGAACAGAGGAAGATCACTGAGGGATGAAACAGCTCCACACCCTGGGTAGGTAGCAGGGTCCGGGGCATTCAAGGGAAAGACAAAACCTGACATAACACTTCAGCGCTGTAAATGGAAAAGTGCAAAGTCACAGCATAAGTCACAGCACCGAGGAGTGAAAAGACACTGACCAGAGGGCGGGCAGGCGGAGCAGCTTGCCGTACAGAGCGGTGCTGAAGGAGGGGATGATAGGAGTCAGGGGCAGGAAGCAGCCATTGCTGTCCATGGATGTGAGTCCAACCTGGAAGCCAAACACCTGGAGGAGAAAGAGGAGGAACATGGAGTCAGCTCCTGCTCACAGGTCACCCAGACTGGGCGGCCGGGGGGCCTGCAAGCACCGCAGGCAGGGAAGGGTGAAGGCGGGGGCGAGGCCGGGGGCAGGACCCACTCACGACTCGGAGCAAGAGGACCGGCGTGCGGTTCTGTGACTTTACAGAGCGTGCTGGCGAGCATTAGGCAAAGCTGCTCGGGATCTTACTGTTCGGTCGGCGGTAAAATAAATGGCGTCACCTTGAGTTTGAGGGAAAAGGCATGTCAGGTCAGGGTGCCGTGTGACCTTTCTGTTCCAGTAACTGAGGAGGGAGGGGAGGTCCAGCAGCAACTGGTGGGGGGGGGGGGGTGACCCCAAGGGCTGACCACTGACCCCAAAGTGACCTACTGATAAGCGCTGTCAGCGTGCCTGGCAAACATCCCAACCTTAGGAAAACATAGCCTGACGCTCCATCACCGAGGCAGCCATGGCAGGGAATTACCATCATCGAAGGGAAAAGGCCAGCTCCGGGGCAGCCATCTTGGCTCTGGGCTAAACCTTGGCCGGGATTTGGGGCAAGCACAGGCTTCCGGTCCATCGGGCCAAGGAGGGACCCTACGATTACAGTCCCAGAGCTGATCTTGGAGGAACCGGTTTGAGACACGAAGGGGGACATGCACAGAGCGGTGAGAGCATCGGCGATGTGTAAACTGTGGCTGAGAGGACGGAGTCTTACATTGCGAAACTGTAAATCACCTGCCTTCATGAACAGTAAGAGACAAAAACACCTCTGGAAAAATCAGCACTTGGTTTTCCAAGCGATTTCAGTCTCTTTTGACATGGGAGCAAATGAGATCCTGCATACAGAGGGTGAGTCACGCTTGGGACCAGTTGCTCTTTTGGGACTGTCTCCTGCCACTAACAGATCTCTCCAAAGCTATGTGTGCATCATCCACAAGAGAACATGGGAAATCCACAAACCAGATCTAGAGCCGCAACCCAGGAGCTGAGAGGCTGTGCATGATATATGAAGGTAATCACAGAAACGCAAAAATCAGAAATGCTAAGTCTGACCGTATGTTTGCAAGTATTATTTACATACACAGAAATAAAATATGCAAAAAGCTTCATATAAATGTGACATGTGGGTGTGTAGGTGTGATGTGGGGCCCCACCTTCAGGTAGCAGTGGGCGTAGCAGTGATGCAGCAAGCTGTCTGACGGCTGGCTCAGGCCGCTGACGGCGCCAACCACGTGCGACGCGTACATGGGTACTGAGTGCTCCAGATTCACCTTGTCCACCTGGAGGCGCAGAGCGGGCAGCGGGCGCACGGGCTGGTACGCAGGCACGCTGGGGGGAGCGCAGGGGCCCTGCGGGGCGAAAGATACGGGCACCTCACACCCTGTTGGCTCATCTCAACCACGGCTAGACGAGCACAGGGATCACTGTTCTCCCAAATGCTGGTGTTGACATCTAACCAAGACACTCAGAACTCCGGGGTTTAATTCCATATGATCCAAGCTTACTGACTGGTTAGTATGACTAGGGAAGACAGCTGTTGATCTGTCATTACGCCTCTATAGTCCACGACGTTAGGGAAGACACAGCAGAGTCTAACATCTCTGAGCACTTTACTATAGACCGACTCCAGGTCCCCGAAGACCGGATTGGGAAACTCTGCTATAGATGACTATCTATGTCTGATTTTTCCCATCATGGACCACAAGGCCTGTAGGTAGCGAGATGGTACTGACCTTTCGCTCCAAGATCGTGGGAAGCAGGTGGTCTAGAAGATTGAACTCAGCCATGGGGACTGTGACAGACACCTTGATTAAGGTGACAGAGGTGAGGCGTGTGGGGATGAACTCCTCCAGGCCAGCTAGCTCCTGGGCTCCAGGAGCGGTTCGACTGTCCTCACCAACATCTACTGAAAGTAGGAGGGGCCTTCTATCAAAACCATTGGTTGTTACACCCTAAAACAATCTTTTGAAAAGCTACCAATCATCAGACTCCATATAGGCCATAAACTTCATTCATACTGGCTGCTAAACATACAAACTTGCCAACTACTGGCCCCAAAAATGAAAAAACAAAACAAAACAAAACAAAAAAACAGACTGTAAATGCGGAATTCCTTCTTTCACGTGCTGTTCCAACGCACTGTTAGTCATCTGGCCTTTGCAGCAGGGAATCTGGCTCTGTGGTCGGACCCACAGGTTATTTTATATTTTTGGAGAGCAGCTCATCCTGTGCTCCTTGGGCTGGTGACCAAAGAAGCTGGGAGCGGCCGTGATGTAAAGGCCTCGGTTTCTCCATCAGCTGGGCTCCCCGCGGCCACGGCAGGACCCAGCGCCCACCACAGCTGCCGCCCACAGCACCCACAGGCGCTCCACAGTACCAGAAACATTCCCATCCTGAATGAATTCCCCGCCAATCTTTTTGCTTATTCACCTTCATGCACACGCGCCACCAGAAATGGACGCAGGCTTTTGCTGGGCTCTAATTACTGTATTTATCGCAGATGCAGAAATAACAGAAAGCAACGGATGTTGCTGACCCACGAGCAGGCCAACCCATCTGAATATCACCTGAGCATCAAGCCACAGAGAAACTGGCCAAACTCTTTTAGTCTAATAATTGTTATTATTCAATTTTTTTTGCTGCTTTAAAAATGTTCACTGTTCCCACTATTTGCAAAATAATTAAAAGACTCTCGTCAGATAAACAGGTCAACACAGGTAGTATCGCCCTAGTGTCAGACACTATTTTCATCTGGAAAACGTGACATTTCCTGAGCTCCATGTTAGCACATTACTGTAGAGGAATTAGTCGATCCCAATACAGTCTCCTTCACACAGTGACAGCATGTGACAGTCAGCCCCAACTACCTTGAGCAGGCGGGGCAGAACTTAGCATTATATCTGAACTCGTTAAAACACAGGATAGGCTGTGGAGGGGACTGGGTGTTTGCTGGGTCTGACCTGACTGAGGCCTGCAGTAAGGCTCGTATTCGTGGTCCAGGGCACACGCCACCATCTTGAGGACACGGTGGACGGCGCTGCTGTGGAGATGGATGTCCAGCGGGCCGACGACCAGCCGCTTCTCCGAGGTCTCCTGGGCTGGCCCGGCTGCCTCGTTCCCCATGGCCGAGTGGCAGTCTGGCTGGCCCACGTGGTCTGGGGCACATGGAGGCAAAACGCACGCTGAACGGAGCCGGCAGAGATCACAGTTACCGAGCCGACGACTAACAGGCCGGCTCGACATTCTCCCAGGCTTCCAGATCACCGGGGTCTGTAGTGACCTATCAGTTTTGGGGTCAAACAAAGTCAGAGCCGTGAACACTTTGCTGCTTATAACCCACGTCCATAACAAAGGCAGCAGCACGCAATTTTACCGAGCCACTGAGGGATCCGGGGATGCCTTTAACAGGTAACCCCCCCCCCAACGTCGGGCACATAACAGGTCGCCTGATTTAAGACGGTGCGACTCCGTCACCTCCAGAGCCATCTGTGGGTTTATGACTGAACCGCAGAGCAGGGAGAGCAGAATCGGGGGCTGATGAATGACCCCAGAGGCTCACTGGGCCTCACCTCACTCATGCAGCTGTGCCTTCATTCAGAGCCGCTGAAACAGGGCACGCTTTAAAACCTGCTGCTCGCCATAATAAAACTGGACAAATTTAAAAGGGGGGGGGGGGGGGGGGGAATAGTAAAAGCTTCCCTT